AGGTGTTTACTTCTTGTGGTTTGGAAAGGCTTACTGCTGTGTCAATGGCCAGAAGTCAGTGAGCATGGGAGCCAGCGTTCCCAGACAGCCAGCTGACACTTCAAAGAGGTTGAGCTTTTTCTGAGCTCAAGAGAGAGTTTAAAATAAATCAAAATTAAAAAACCCTCCCCAAACCAAAACACCCCAACAAAGAACCAAGTATACATCTCCACGCTTCAGTTTCATCCTCTATATTTATAGCTAGAATGTATCAAAATTGTCTTACTGAGCCGAGATTAAACCCTCTTGTTGAAATGCTGTATAGCTGCCTTGTCTTTTGCATTCAGACGCTGTATCTACTGTATCTACTTACCACTTGCTACGGCCTCATACTAATATAAATGATTAATTGCCAAGGATTAGCTTTTAGCTGCTTTTCTACACGGTTTGTATACAGTTGTTGCTGTTTATTAAGTATGTGATATCTAATCCAGTGTTTAGTGCTTACAAAGGGAAGAAACGTCTGTGCTTGAGATTAAAACACTTCATTCACTTTGTGCCAAAGCCCTCACCAAGGGCTCTGTGATCTGCTGTAGTTAGAAAAAACCCTTGGGAATGCAGGCTTGGGAGGGGTGGACCCATGTGTGGACATGTCCCTGCAACAAAGCCCTTCTGACTGATACAAGGTCAGCCTGCCGAACACGAGAGTAAGTGTGGGCATGATGGAGAGCAGAGAAGCTGACCAGGAAAACAAGAGGTTTTAGCAGAATAAAGGACGAAGAACCAGGAAGGTGCTGAGAGCTTGGAGGGATCCTGCAGCGGTGTTTCCCACCACCTGTGGGCTTCATATGTCTCTTATGCAAAAAGAGGGGTGATAATATTCAATATCTTTGCAGGCTACTTGCAAGGAATAAACAATTAACAGCTGTAATCCCTTGTGTGAGCCCAAGGCTTTCTCATCAGTGCAAGATATGCCACCAAAGCTCCTCTTACGTCAGGCTGTAAGTGTACGGGCAAACCCCAGGGCTGTGCAGCCCAGGCAAAGGCTGCACCCATGGTACAAGAGGATTTGTCTCCCGAAAGGAGTAACATCTCCCCCAGCTTGTGAGGCAGCAAAAGTGCCTCAGCATAAATTTTGTGCCCTTGTTCCAAACGTGAATGGGAAAAAACCCTTTGAGACCCGCTGGAGAAACCTCCCATGACCTGCAGAAGCAGCCCAGGTGCAGCGGTCCCAATAACCTAAAGTCAGCCCTTAGGAGCAGCCTCCTGAAATGCTCAGACACTCGGGTAGCAGGGCCACGCTAGCGTCAAACATATGAAACAGGTAGAGGGTATTGCCCTTGCCTTTCTATCTATAGGGATTTACTGTGCCTGCAGGCTTCCCAGTCTATTCATAATGTCATCAGTGTGGCTGATGCTGGTAACCGGATTTGCCACTTCTCTGAACACATTTCTGGAAAAAATGTTAAACAGGTCACCATTTTTGCAGACAAAACATCACCTGAGCTCTGTTCTAATTTCCTCGCTATGTGGCAACCCAGTATGGTATCAATGACTAGGTAAATCTCCCTGCAGCAAAACTAATTATACCTTTTGGTGAGAAAGCGGCAGTGGAACTGGTTTAGTCTTCCAAAAAATTCCACACTATAATATGCAGGACTAATGTGCCTCAGATTTGAAAGGAATTAATATCAATTATTCTCATGCATATTCATGAGAAGAAGACTGGTTTAGCAATCAAGCTAATAGTTTTTGCTTAATTACATTTAGTTGATTTCATGCTATCTTGGCACATTCCTGATTGAATTTAACCATTAAAAAAAAACCCTCCCACAACTATTGCAGCAAACACCAACACTTTAAGCTCAGCATCCCCTGTAAATAGTGTCTGAGGCTGAGCAGACTGCTTGCGACGATGAGAGTTGATCACGAGCATTGTCTCTCCCTGGTGCAGGGTAAAATCACAAAAGCATCTTGAAGAGCAGTTCCCAGGTGTTCACCGGTGCTGAAGGTTAAGGCATTCATTTTTTTGTATTATTTTTCTGAATCTGAATGGGAGACGCACCAAGGCGAGCATCAAGCTGGAGGGAGGGTTTTGTCTGAGTAGATGGTCTGAAGCCTGACCCTGACAATGCTAATGACCTGCTGTGGTGCAGAGGGTTGAAGACAGGTGGGGTGTTCTGTGCGTTGTGGGTGGGTGTTTCACCATCAGGGTCTGCCCTCTCTAGTTGCCTTTCAAGGAAAAACCAGGCTGTGCTATACCGCACTGCTGTTCCCCACTTCTGTGCTCCAAGACCAGCATTTCGCACAGCCCAAAGGGTGGGAACATGCGAGCAAGATGAAGACGCAGTGGGTCGGGCAAGAGGGCTGGGAAGGGCGATGGTAGGAGCGCTCGCGAGGGAGATCCCCGGTCGGGCTGGCAGGGAGCTGGGGAGAGCAGGCGCTGGCACGGCCAGGGCCCTCCTTGGGAGCGTGCATCGCCTTCTGGTGCGCGAGGCCGGCGCAGAGCGTGCTGCCACGCTTGAGGATGGCAGTGAGGTTCGTCTGCAGGGCTGAGCAGGGAGGACACGCACACGGTTTGGGTCTGTCTGGTGCTGGACATCTTGCAGTAGTGCTGCTTGCTGGGATTGCAGTCGTTCTGGGCAGAAGGCAAGGCAAGGAGAAAAATGAGAAACTTGAGCTTCCATGTGCCATGTATTTGTTTTCTTTTTTGATTTTCCCCATGCTAGCAGCAGCAGAAATAGGACAGATGCTCCCCTCTCATCCTCTCTTGAGCACTTTCACTGCACTGGTATCTAAAGGCAGTATATGCCTCTGAAGTTTGCCTTTTCAGTATTTTCATTCATTCATCATTTTCTTCTCCAGCTCACCATTTGCATCTGGGCTTTGCTCAGAAGGAAGACTGACACCATTTATCACTTAATGGGGCTTGGTAGCTCGCTGACAACTAAACATGTTCTTAACAGCATTAAGGAATTTAGAGGCAGCCATGCCTGAAGGCTACTTTTCTGCCCACTTTAGCTTAGTCAGCAGCCGTTGTAGCTGCAGCTCTCTGGGTGCCTGTAGGCAAACGAAGCATTGACATATAATCAGCAGAAGTATTGTATCCCCTTTTAAACCAAATAGACTTACTCTCTCAACAGATAAAATTGTAACAGCTGTAACTGAAATCAAATAATTAACCATTATTCAATCTGGGCTTTTCCAAGCAATGTCAACATTAAGATCTCGGATATTTCCAAAGCAAAACATAAATGGTTTTAACTTGCGTTTGTTTTTATGGATTTTATACTACGCAGTAATGCTTGCAGAAGAGCATAGGAGTTTGCACTCTCAGAGACCCTGGACACAGTCACTGGGGGCACTGCAGGGATGCGAGTGAGCTGGTGCGTGCAGGGTCCTACCCCTCCAGAGCACAGACCTCCTGGTGCAAACGGGTCTCAAGGACCCCCTTGGGGCAGGATGCAGAAGTAAATGCATGTAAAGTGCCAGAACAGGGAAAACTCTTAAGCATGGGTTTATACGCCACAGAAATCAGCAGGACTTAAGGGTTTTGGAGATTCAAGGTCTCACATTGCATCTTAACATCCTTCCACATCAAAAAGCAGATTAAAGGTTACCTGTATTTCACTTGCGACCCTATCCCCAAGTTTGGTCTCAACTTCTTGTCCTGATCCAAGAAGCAAGTGTTGCCTTTATTTATGGCCTCAGTATTTTCTAGAAAAAACATCCTGCAAGCCCAATGGTCAGAATCATAACATCAGAAATGACCATGTTCTGCAAACTGTTTCAGTTTATGAATAAATAGGCATTTTCTAGTGAAGAGATGTTTCCTAAAACAAGTCCCTGTCAATATATACCACAGACATGCATAGCTTCCATGAGCAGGAGACGTTATTCCCGTGCAGAATGAAGTGGGGAGGAGATTAAGGAACTCTCCATCTGTTTCTGCGCTGTGCAGCACATGGGATATCGCTCAAAATACACCGTGCTCTCTGTTTCTCAGAGCCTGGGGAGACAAAGGCTGGCACAGGCATGGCAGGATGGAGCTGGACAGTCTGACTCAAAGTATATTGTCTGCTTGGGGAAGCAGGGGGGCTGCAGGAAAAATCCCTTAGTAAATGGAGCATATGAATGAAACCTGGTCCTGATGCCAAGTTTATTCTGCAGGCCTCGATGGAGCTAAAAAAGCGCATTAGACAAAACCATTATTGAACTTCTTGATTACATAACAATTTCCTCATCGTATTTCCAAGAATATTGAATCTATATTCAAACACCCTCCTACTCTCTCCCACACACCACCCCTTCTTGCTATATCAGCTTCATTACCGAGTATGAAGACAGAAAAAGTATAGGGCATGTTGCCATGAGCAGATAGATCTCAGATGCTTACACTGAGATTTTAGAGCCATCTACGGGATTTGGACAGCCCATTGCCATTAATTTTAATGGCTTTGAAAGTCTCCGGTCTTATGCCTTGACCTTAGTTAGTGTCTTCAGCAGTGCAAAGAACAGATAATCAAGCAATAAATATCACCAAACCTAAATGTTGGGTTAGTCCCCGCTGCCTAAAACTTACCCCGCTCTGTGCTGCCTGGGGGGTGGCATGCACAACTTTGCTGCCCACAAACTTCTGCTACCGCAAGCTCAGGAGAGAGACGGGAAATTTCTGAACAGACTGGCTTCTTCGCGGGAGCCTTCTTCCCCCCAGGGATGAGCACAGACCTTGCCAATACACGGGATGAATCCCTGGGGCCACTCTCACCCAGCAAGCAGGACCAGGCCCACTGCAGGTGGGTATCTCCTGAAAGGTGTGTGGTAGAGGTTGCCTGCCTCGGTTTTGGGGGGATTTTGGAGGAGGTGGGGATTAACGGCTTGCAAGTACAGCACATCCATCCTGCCTCAGGAAGCAGCAGTTGCATACAAACTGGCTACGCTTACTCATATAATCAGCTTGCTCGTCTCATTTGCATGTGTAATAACCAGCATGTATGTACAATCATGCTAATCACTTCAAGGCAACTGCTTTAAATTCATTCAAAAACCTTGCCCTGCCTGTCCTTGGGTTATTTAGCTTTCACAAAGGAACTACAGCAGCAATCCAGAGATTCACTCAATAAAAATCTTTGTGAAACAGTCAATTTAGTGGAGGAGAAGTTTTTTCTGGAATCCTGCCCATACATACTGAGACTTGCACTACCAGCCAGTGCTGTCATTAGGAACCCATCCAATACCCTCTGCAAGACAGCTAGAAAATGGGGAATGTCACAATTTATGCTGTGTTGCTACAGGTGAAATGTAAGAGTAAATACAGAAGCAAAGAGGAAAGGAACCACACAGCTTCTCTCATGCAAGCTGTTGGAGGAGATGGTCTGAAAGTTGTGCATGGAAAAACTATTCTTAAACCCTCTCAGCTTTATGAGCGGTTTAAAAAGTGTCTGTGATGCCTTGTTGTGGATACCTGACCAGTAAGACCTGGCCTGTCAGGGCTCCTGTCATTAGGTCTGACAGACCCCGTGTGAGGACAGTGGAGGATGACTCTCATGGATGTAGCACATGGATTCCCTCACCTGCCTCTGCCACTGATGTGGCCTTTCCTCAGGCCAGTCATTTCACCCTTTTGTGCCTCCAAATCTTTTTCCTATGCCTCCAAATTTTAGGCTGCAAGCTTTTCCATTGTTTTAGCTATGTGTTTATAGGACCTCCTGCAGGCATGGGGCATCCAACTCAGAAGCTCTGGATGTGCCTGCAGTGGTATTGGAGGTGCCTTCCCCAGCCCCCATAACAAGTCAACATATGCCAGATAAGCCAGCAGTAAGACTTGGGGGCGGGGGGGGGATACAGCTAGCTCCGTAAGTAGGAATATGCACATTTCACAAAATCTAACAGGCCCCCGACGCTTAACTTCCCCATCCCTGTTCCTTCTGCAAATCCAAGCCTGTGCCCTGGGGACCTTTCTGTGCTTGAGCCTGTTCAACCTCAGCTCTTTGATTGCCAGCCCAAAACGTTTCACCAGCACAAGGCCATGTTGCATGTTTTTTAATGAGTCACGAAAACCAGTGCTACAGCAGGAGGCCCTCTCCCCATGCTTGCTTCCTTTTCAAGCAGCAGTTAGGTGGCGAGGTTTTGGTCAGTGCTCTGGAGCGGGGACAACGGGCACTTTTTTCCTGTGACCACTTGCCTAAGCAGCTGGAGCCTCATTCACTGCAGAGGGATTGCTCCTGCTCAAGTCCAAATTTGTCCCATTGGCTTTTCTTGTTAAAGAGAAGTGAACCTGGAAGAGGAAAAGGAAGGAGGAAAGTCCAGGAATCAAATGAAAAGGCTGCCTGCCACACAGAGCGTCTCGAGAGGCGTTCTTGCTGGTATAAATGTCTTTCCCTCAGCTTTCTGTCTCTCATTACTGACAGCGGAAAATACGAAAGCTGCCAAGCTAGGGGTTCAGTGTCAAGATAGGAAACCTTATTAGACAGACGGTGATTTCTATAATCTGAAATCCCAGACTGTAAATACACTGGGGTAGACCTTGTGCCACTGAATGCAGTGCGAATGCCTGACAGCAGCCACTGGGTCCAGTTTTCTGTTGTCAACTGCTCCTTGGGTGGTTTTTGTTTGATGGTGGATGCTACCAGGACAAGGTATGCTTTAGAGAAGGAGAAGGATCCTCTAAACCCCGCTGGATATTTCATCTCCCAGTTTTTTGTACTTTCCAACTGAAAAGTGCTTTGAATACCTGAGGGCAGTTAACTCACATTTAGAAGTTTTTCTTAACCTGACAAGATTCCCAAAGATGTATGACTGCAGTAGATCAATAAGGGGGAAAATCTGTATCTTAGGAGCACAGGTGACATCTTGCTGCAACTTGCAGGAGAAATGACAAATGTCTCTCTCTGTTTATAGCTTAGCTCCGTGCCTATATCTGCTAAACCAAAACCAAATTTTACTCTCAGATCTCCTAGTTTTCAAATTTATGTTTGTCTGGCACTGCCTTGATCTTCAAAGCAGGAAGGTATATCAAAGGAAACAGAAGGTTTGACACCAATTACTGCGGCTGGATGCCATCCACCGAATGAAGATGGAGTGTTAATATTTACACTGAAAATGAAGGAGATAAAACACACTAGGTACATCTAAGTCTACAAATAAGCCTTTCTGTGTATAGTGGGCAGAGATAAACCCAAGAAAAAATTTGAAATTACCATTGAAAACATCCCAAACACCTTCAGAAATGTTGGGTTGTAAACAAAGAAATGACAGCAAAACCACTAAAAGAGCCTTCTAGGAAAGCAAATCAGGCTCCCTGCTTCTCGGGGGTATTGCCTGGTCTTCAGGAGATGGTCTTTTGAAACAAAACCATGCAGAAGTAGTTAACATCTAAATTTCTCCCCACTTCACCATGAGACCCTTGACTTACATTTTATTCTCTTGAGTTTGAAGCCATCGGTTCAAGCACTTCTCCTTGCGTCCCTCTCTGCTTCTCTTCATCCCATAGTTCTTCCTACTTTTTTGCACCTCCCAAGTCTTTCCCACAGCTTCTTTGGCTCATTGACCTGAGAAGTCTCTCAACAAGGCAAATCCCCCATCGCACAAGTTGTTGTGGGGTTGTTGGTATATCAGCAGCAAATCTATGGAAGAGGAAGGCAGCGAGGAGGAGGCGAAAGGTTCACTAGCACTGTGAGGGTGCACAGCACAGCTAACAACAAACATTCTTTTAGGCAACCTGTTTAAAAAGGAAAAGGAATCTTCCCAGCATTTTTCCAGGTAACAATTTAGTAACTGAAAGTGAAGCTATTCTAAAATTCCCGGTACTAGAGCATTGCATAGGAGGCCATTTACACCGTTCACTTCTTCCATTTAATCTAATTTAGACAATGAAACCAGAGTGTTTAATGGAGCTAATTTTTATTTCTAGTCAAATCTCATTCTTCAGATTAAATTACTAGGTCCGCAGTGTCGTGTACAAGTCAAAGTTATATAGTACATTTTAGTGAGTTAAAAGGTAAATGATTTCATTACATTGATTTGGAAGGGATTTCCTTAACAGCAAGTGGATTTTAAAACACTTGTTGAAATCAAAATTTCAAAATTGAAACTCTTGCCTTGCATTTGGATTTTTTGAAGGTATAGGGGCTTTCCTTCTAAAGCTATAGCTTAAGGTTGCTATGTGGATTTAATTCAAGTGAAGCATGCAGCCTTTGTAGACCATTTCTGCCTTTCAACTTTGGAGAAGAGGTGAGGCTCTTCTTGAGAAGACCCCCGTGTTTCTGAACCATATTGGGTCTGCATGTTTCTCCTACAGCAGCAAGGCTTGTTCCACTGTTGTGACTGTCTGTTTAGGGACAAATGTTCAGGAGTCTGATATTTCCTGACTGTTAGGATGTCTGTACTGGGCTTGGCTGAAGAGAAACTCTGCAAGAATTTCTTTCTCCAGTGCCCGAGGTGGTAACTGCGGATGTTTTGATATTGTGAGGCTGGCTGAGAAAGGTCACTGTGAGGAAGCCTAAAATCTAGTTATATGGGCAAGGAAGGAGTGTGCCAACTTTGCAATTCATGATGCAGAACTCTTGTCATACGTTTTATAATTCATTGTTTAATATTGTGTATCTAGTCATCATGCACATATGTTGCAATTGATTTTATGCTTTTCTATCAAGCAGGAGAAAAGCGAGCATAAGGGACCAGCTTACACTGAAATGAATACATAGAACATTAGTCACATATACGTGTGTTTTGAAATCATTGCTGTATTTTGGCAGTATCCTAAGAAACTAGATATAATCCCACCCAATTAACAAACTAGAGAAAGAATTCACTAGTAGAAAAAAACACTCCTCAAAATGTCTGTCAGCTCTAAAACCTCCCTAAAATGACTTTAAAAGAAGATGTAATTAGGGAAACTGGAAAGTATAGCATTAATGTCTATATAAAACAGGTATGGAAGGACAGCCTGCCTACACCATCTGAAAGCTGCAAATACACTAATCTAGCACTTCACGCTTTCCAGCTCTGCATAGAGTCGGTGGCCCAGGATCTGATCAGATTTATGTGGGTTTTTAGAGAGGCTGCTCACTGCAGACCCTTCTCCTCTCATTGCACTCTTTAGCCCAAGAGCTGGTTTCTGGTAATGGATGAGCTCTCCAGTGGCTGGACCTGCCCTGCCTTGACCGTCTCAGTGTTGTGCAGTTTGGTTTGCCTGGATGAGTTTGCTCTTTCCCCAGGTTGCGATGAGGAGCTAGGATGGCCAGTCGGTCGCAGGCAGCGTAGCTCAGAGCTCAAAACGTTTTAGAAAGCTCGGTGAAGTTTTCAGGTATTTCACAACCGTCAAGTTTTAAATTAGAGATGAGTCATTAAAAAAGAGTGTGTTACTTGTACGCTTATATGTAGTGGAATTGTACACATGTCTCTATAATGAGCCATAGGCATCCAAAATTCCAGATGTAACTGTGCATTAAATGGAGGACATCGCTCTGATCAGATCTTGCATTCACAATTGCATCCCTTCTTGCTTAGATTTCAGAGCCTGTTGTCCAGATGGGCTTTGTTGGGCACCTAATTAGTAGTTAATCAAAAGCTCCTGCTGTGAACTGCTTCACAGCCCTCCTGGCATCCTAGCTGCTTGGTACGCGGTCCTTGACAACACAGAGATGAAGGCACAGGAGTTGAAGTAGATGCTTTATCTCCTTTATGCATCTGGCATACCTAAAGAAGCTTCCAAAATAAAATCACCTCAGGATGCATCGGTTATCTGACTTCTGTGTACTAAGAGCAAAATTAGTCTTGAAATGTGTAAGTGGAAATACAGCCGTGTGTTAATGGCAATGATAGATAGCGTGATATATTCTGAGACGAACTCACTGTTTTCTCTTTCCTTTTCAGATTTTGGCAATCATTTCCATCATGTTTATTGTACTATCTACAATTGCCTTGTCCCTTAACACACTTCCTGAACTACAAGGCGTGGATGAATTTGGGCAGACCACAGATAATCCCCAGCTTGCCCACGTGGAAGCGGTGTGCATTGCATGGTTTACAATGGAATACCTCTTGCGGTTCCTATCCTCGCCTAAGAAATGGAAGTTTTTCAAAGGGCCGCTGAATGCTATTGATTTGCTAGCTATCTTACCGTACTATGTCACTATCTTCCTCACAGAATCCAATAAAAGTGTACTTCAGTTCCAAAATGTACGACGAGTGGTCCAAATATTTCGGATTATGAGGATACTCCGGATTCTAAAGCTCGCCCGGCACTCAACGGGTTTACAGTCCTTGGGGTTTACACTGAGGAGGAGTTACAATGAGCTTGGATTGCTCATCTTGTTTTTGGCCATGGGCATTATGATCTTTTCCAGTTTAGTGTTTTTTGCAGAAAAGGACGAGGATGATACAAAATTCAAGAGCATCCCAGCTTCTTTCTGGTGGGCAACAATCACCATGACAACAGTAGGCTACGGAGACATCTACCCCAAAACACTTTTAGGTAAAATAGTAGGAGGACTGTGCTGCATTGCTGGAGTGCTGGTGATTGCTCTTCCCATCCCAATTATTGTCAATAACTTCTCTGAGTTCTACAAAGAGCAGAAGAGGCAGGAGAAAGCCATTAAGCGCAGGGAAGCTCTTGAAAGAGCAAAAAGGAACGGCAGTATTGTTTCCATGAACATGAAAGATGCGTTTGCCCGTAGTATAGAACTCATGGACATTGTGGTTGAAAAGAACGGAGAAAGCATAGCCAAAAAGGATAAAGTTCAGGACAATCATTTATCTCCCAGCAAATGGAAATGGACCAAGAGAACACTCTCTGAAACTAGCTCTAGTAAATCTTTTGAAACCAAGGAACAAGGATCTCCAGAAAAAGCCAGGTCATCTTCGAGTCCCCAGCACCTGAACGTCCAACAGCTAGAGGACATGTATAACAAAATGGCAAAGACTCAGTCCCAGCCAAACCTTAATACTAAAGAGTCGAGTCAACCTGGAAAGCAAAAGGAAGAGCTAGAAATGGAAACCCTTCCCGGCCCTATGGTGCCCTTGCTGACGACTCGCACTGATGGGATCATTGACATGAGGAGCATGTCCAGCATCGACAGCTTCATAAGTTGCGCGGCGGAGTTCCCTGACTCCGGGAGGTTTTCCCACAGCCCGCTCGCCACCCTTCCCTGCAAAGGTGGCATTAACGTGATTCAGGAGCAGAGCAGGCCAGAGGGGAGCGGTGCCAGATTTGTGGAAATGAACCCAAGCTCCGAAGGCAGCCACCGTTCCGCTTTTTTCATAGAAAGTCCCAAAAGCTCCATAAAGGCCAGTAACCCTTTAAAACTAAGATCTCTGAAAGTCAACTTCATGGAAGAGGACACCAGCACGTTAGTACCAGCATCAAATGTACTGAGAATATATCCAGACCCTCTCAAGAGCAGGGGAGCTGCTGCTGCTGCCACAGATACTTCCTTTCTCTCTGACAGATCTCTCATGAGCCCAGAAACCTCGATCTACACAACCGCGAGTGCGAGAACACCCCCAAAGTCACCAGAGACGCAGACAGCCATAGCTTTCAACTTCCATGATGCCGGTATACACAAATACATAGATGCTGACACTGATGATGAAGGTCAGCTGCTTTATGATTCAAGTCCACCTGGAAATGTGAGTCCCAAGTACAATGTTACAAACAGTGGCTATCTAAAGCAAAAGGATAATGTTTATAGAACAGAGAAGAACCATCTAGAAGCTGCTGCTTTACCCACGTCCCCTAAGCTGATAGGGCAAAACTGCATTTACTCTATGGAAGGTATCACTGGAAGAACCCAGGGCAATCAGGAGACTGTCAGACTAGAAAATCACATTTCCCCAGAAGTCCATGTATTACCAGGCAGCGGAGGACATGCTAACACACATGATCAAAGCATCTGAGATGGGCTCCAAAAGAACTTACAGAAAGTTTAAAGGAATGTCTTTACAGTCAACACAAAAAAAAAGAGCTTCTGCATGGCATGAACTTGGCTGAAACAAGCCACCTGTTTCTAAAAGTCTGGGGGAGGTCCAGTGTGGGTTTGTGAAAATGTCCTTCTCTGAAACAACTCTAAAGACGTTGCCCACATCAGTCAAAAATAAGGATTGCAAATCATGATCACACATTGATCTCCTTTCATGTTGTCCAGTGAAGCCAATGTGACCAAATATCCATCCATTCCCCTTGAACGCTAGAGCTCCTTTTGGAAATATTAACATCTGATTTGCATTAGTTCCATAAAGGATGCCAAGGCAGCCAGATTTGAACTCTGGAATAAATTGCTGGGGTTGGTATAAAGCTATCAAAACCACAATGCTCACTGCTTCAGGGCAGCTGTTCCCCATCTACAGCTCTCTCTGATGGATATTATGTCTAAAGGTAACAGGGAACACTTGCATTATTGGAAAATCCAAGCGAAAACCATTTAAAACAAATAACGGTCTAGAGAAACCAATTATTAAAATGCTCTGTGTGTGTTTAACAATACGATATCCTGTAGGACCTGACGTTTTCTTTTGAAATATCAGCAGGGTGAGTTGCACCACTTGTATCTAATTCCAAACATCCCCTAGGACGTAGTGAAACTTGCACTTACCCTCTGCTAAAAACGGATACCTGCCCCCGGGCCCGCGCGTGGCCCTCAGGGGACCCACAGCCCACGCTGGGAGGGTGTGAAGGAGCCATGCAGAAGCAGGAATCTCCGGAGGCATCGCAGCCAGACCCCCTTCCCGCTGCCGGGGAGCGTAGGGCTGGAAGGAGAGCTCGGCTCTCGCCCTGCCCCTCCGCGGAAGGGAG